TGAAAAAAAAAAAGAAAAAAAAAAGTAGATTGTTATGAAAATTCGTATTTGAGAGACCTACGAGATGCGGAATACAAATCTCAACTCTCTAGTAGGATTATTCTTATTTAATTTTCAGATTCTACTTAGTTTTAAACTTAAAATTTGAGGGAGGATATATTTTCTTGGTTAATTGATGTTGTTGAATATTGAAAATAATTACACAAAAGTGTTACTGTTATTTGCACACCTTTAAAATACCGAAAAATATTAATCATTAATCATATTAAGCAAATACCATTATATAAATAGTCAAACAAAAAACGGTTCAGCCCCTTGTACTCTTCTATTATTCAACCGACATTCTTCCTTCTTTTTTCGTTTAATAGCTATTGACTAGCTTGGTGTTATCGATAAATAAAAATATGAAGTAGTATGTAAATAAATATATAAATGGTAATTTGTTCAAAACGGCTAATCTCCGAATGTTCTTCACCGATTTCTGTCGCAATAATATTTAGAAGTGTTTTTGTATGTGTTTCATTGTGATCAAGTCTTTCGTTTTGAAATAGCGGCTGAAAAACGTGATTCGCTTTAGACTGTAGCGCCAATACGGCTCCAACTATTTCAATGAAACTTGGCTAAAGTCTTCCTCTTGAAACCTTTATATTTTATGTATATAACATACTTTACCGAAAACAAGCTGCATACATTTTTATGATGAATTCAGTATTTTATTTGCGAATAACTTAAAAAATACACATTTGTTTATAGATAATACCAGTATCTATTTGAAAGCTTTCTAAATTCCATACAAAATATTTTTTTTAAAAATCATCGAAATCGTACTATTTGTTACAGAGATATGTCATTTTAAACATTTAGTATGTTTTATTTTGCAAAGTCGATTTCCATTATTTTGTTTTTTGATAAATCGAAAATTTTACATTTAATGAAGTAATCTTGACTATTATTTGAAGATACCATATCATTGAATGTTATTGGAGTGTTCTAAGTAAATTCTATAGTTGTGCTCTTAATTTGAATATTGCACAAGCATTAGTTAATAAAACACGAATGAGAGTGAAGTACTAACGGGGGGTACTTTAAATTATAGAATTTTAACTCCAAATATTAATTTAACATTTTTTTTTTTTTTATTTGGTTTTATACAACTCAAGGAGTCATATCCCCAACACCCAAAAGCCACTGCTCCCTGTCCATCCAATCTCCCTCACGAAGCCCTCTGGCCGCCATGCTTTCCTCCACGTCCTCTATCCATTTCTTCTTTGGCCTTCCACGCTTCCTTCTTTCAGGTGGCATATAGTTATAAATTTTCTTTGGCCAGCGGTTCTCATCCATCCGCATTAAGTGGCCATACCACTTTAACCGTTTGGTCCCGATCAGGTGAAGGATGTTCTTTTGACATCCGACCTTGTCTCCAATTGCTGCGTTTGGAATCCGCTCGATTCTGGATATGCCACAGCTTCTTCTCCAGAAATCCATTTCCATGGAAAGCAACTTATTTTCCATCTTTTTTGTCAGTGTCCAGACTTCTGATCCGTAAGTGGCTACGCTTTCTACAAAGGAATGGTATATCTTTTTTTTAGTTTCTAATCTTATTTCTTTCCTCCATAGGGTTGAATTTATCGAACTTATTATTCTTTTCCCATTATTTATTTTGTGTTCGATATCAACCTCACTACCACCCTTTGAAGATAACCAGTATCCGAGGTACTTGAACAGCTGGCTGACATTTAGCGTCCAGTCATCAATTACAAGGGGTAAATTTGGAGCGTTGAAAACCATACACTCTGTTTTACTTTCACGGATTTTCAGACCCCATCTGGAATACGTGTCTAGCAACTTCCTCATCATATAGCTAACATCATCCGGATCCGATGCGATTATTACTTGGTCATCGGCATACTGCAAATTGTAGATGACATCATTCCCGATTTGAACACCCATTCAACAGCACGATCTTTTCCAGTTTTTAAGGGCTTGTTCTATATAAATGTTGAAAATCAGGGGTGAAAAGCAGCAGCCCTGTTTCAATCATTTGTTAATGAAGAAGCTTCTAGACACTCTATCTCCAATTTTTATAGCCCCCGTTATATTTTTATAGAGCTCTTGAATTGCTTTGATGAAGTATCTCTTAATAGATGTGGCTTCCAAAGCTTTCCACAATTTCGCTAGAGGTACTGAATCATAGGCCTTGTGTAAATCTACAAATATCATATAGAGTTCACGGTCGTGGGCCATCCTCTTTTCTATAAGTTGTGAGAGACTAAAAATGTGATCAGTGCATGATATTCCAGCTCGAAAACCCGCCTGTTCCTCGCTGATCTCTTCCTTTAAATCATTTTCAATTCTGCTTTTAATTATCCGGCCGTATAATCTACTCAGCGAGCTGGTAACAGTAATACCTCTGTAGTTGGAAAACATCTTTCTTTTGGCCTTTTTTGAAAACTGGAGTGATATAACCCTGTTTCCATTCTTCAGGAATCTCTCCACCATTTAACAGAAGTGTCATACTTTCTGCCAGTGCCATTTTGAGTTCGGTCGGGCCTGCTTTAATTAATTCAATTGGAATAGAACCAGGGCCGGGAGATTTTCTATTCTTCATTCCTTTGAGGACTGAATCCAGTTCTATGATTGTGACTGGCGGTATATCTTCCTTATTTAGCATTATTTCATCGGATTGGTTCCATGCGAATTCTGGTCGCTCCTCATGAAATAATTCTTCAAAGTAATTCACCCATTGCTGCTCCTTGATTAATGGGAAGTTATCTCCACATCTTTTGGGATTTTTCAATTTTTTTAATGTCCTCCAAGCAGCACTAGACTTTTGTCCATCAATGTAAGTGTCCACATACTTGCCGGTTTTCTCCCAGTAGATATTTAAAGCCTTCCTTCTAATAGCTTTTACTTTTTTACAGGCATTTCTACATTCCCTCAGGTCCTTCTCATTTTTAGAGCTCAACCATTTATTGTATAAATATTTTTTCTCTTGAATAGCCACTTCAGCATCCTCATTCCACCAAGGCTTGTTTTTTCCTCTAACCTCTTTCCTTTCCTCTCCGACAGCTTCTAAAGCTGCGGCATGCAGGCACTTTACTATATTTTCGTAATTTAGTTGATCATTCAGACCTTTCTCTTGATTCAATTTCTCCATCAGTCGGCTTTGGAACAGTCTTTTTACTGATTCTTGATTTTTCATACTCTCAATTGAGTATCGAATCGTTTTCGAAGAGTCTGAATTTCCTCTGGGCACTGGAGAGTTTCTAAGAAGATTATGGGGTTTAAAATTCAGAATACTCTTTAAAAGAAAGTGATCCGAACCAAATTCCGCCCCTCTCATCACTCTAACATCGTTTACCTTTATCCTAGTAGTGCGCCTGAGGATTATATAATCTATGATTGATTTTAGACCTTTAGTGGGCTGGTGCCAGGAGAATTTGTGAATTTCTTTATGCTTGAAGAATCCATTTAATATTTTCATGTTTAATTGCTCACATAAACTTATTAATCTTGCACCGTTATCGTTAGTTACCTCTTCTCCAAAGCGTCCCACGGTCTCATCGTTGAACTTGCTGCCAACACGTCCGTTGAAGTCGCCCAAACAGATAACAATCTTACGATCAGGTGTTCGCTCTATCAAGTCGCAAATATCATCGAAAAACGTGTCTTTTATGTATTGCTTGGAATCTTCAGTTGGAGCATAGATCCCAAAAATAACAACCTCTTCTCCAAACAATGTCATTTCGAGTTTAATTATTCTTTCCTTTACACATTCATAATTTTTAATATACCTGCGCAATCTTTTGTTAATCACCACTGCGACCCCTGCTCTAGCTCTCTCACTTTTTTCCACTCCACTGTAGATATACACGAAATCTCCTGAAAGTTCATTGTAACTCCCTTTGATTTTAGTTTCACTGAGGGCTGCCACATCGATATTTTGCTTTTTCAGTTCATTTTCCACTTCGTTTTTCTTGGTCCTCAAACCTTGAACATTCCAGGTACCAAAAAACATGTTCCGTTTCCGCGCCTTAAGTCGTTGCCGATTAGATCTGTCCGGTTTTCTTTCTGTTTTGGGTTTCAAAGCGAAATATTTTTTCCGATGAAGGGGTGCTGGCCCTACGATCAACCTTTTTTAAACTGCAAGGACAGTGGTTTGATTTTGGGGTTGCCTTCCCCTAGACAGGTTGCCTTCACTATGGCTATGAGTCCTGTCCACCCAGGTCGCAGTTTAACGTCATGCCCGGGACATAATTTAACATTTTCTGACACAATATTTACATTCGACTTTCAAAGAACAACGTTCTTATTAATAGCTGCACTTGCTATGACCATAATCAAATCGCAGGATCAAAGTTTTGGAAAAATGTGTGTATTATTGCGACGTCAAGTAATTTCGCATGGACAATTATATGTGGGAGCAATTAGAGCACGTTCATTTAAAATATTGAAATTTATATTTTCAATGGCAATGGGCAAGGCTGTGAACTAAACAATAAAAGAACATTTAAAAAGAACACATTGTTTACAAATAAGTTCTGAATAAAAATGGATTTAAAGTTAAATTGAAATTACTAATTTAAATTTATTGTTTACATTAATTTATTGTGATAATAACACATAAATTAAATATTTTTGAATGAGTCTATTTTGTATTACTTATAAATAATTTTAAATGACTTCAGCTCGATTTTTAATTGAAATTGAAATTTTGTTTATATTAATAAATGAGGATTTTTGAATCGTGATTTACTCTTTATTTATTAATTTAAAAAAAAAATTAATTATATGTTTCCCTCAAATTTTTAATTACTATTGTCAAATTTCGACCACTGGGCGAACACTACTATAGATAAATAAGTAAATGTAGATTAAGAGCTAATCTCCAATCGCTTCCTATAGTATATAAATGCTGACAAGCGATTGCACAATCCGCAGTGCAGTAGCGGCATTGGCCGAACATAATACAGGTGGCTCTGACAGGACCCTCTTCAGCGTCAACGCCACACAGCTTCCATCTTAGTCTTATTTAGCCCAGATCCATATCCTGGTCCTCCATTGTGCCTCGGGTAGTGGAGGGTATTCATGCTCTGAAGGACGGATGATGGATGGACTAGAGGTATGAGTGGTGCCGCTGTGAGCAATGTTAGGCCCAAAAGTGAACCCAGCCTAGTCACTTCACTACCTTAGTCGAGTAACCGTTGTATATTTCTCTTGTATTTTTTTGTTTCGTTTTATTTATTTAACAATACAATAGTATTTATGATTTATTTGGGATCTATCCTAGAATTACACAATATCTACAATACTTTTTATATAGTGACCATTCTCTTAGAAAGTGGTCAATATACAGAATATCGCGTAAGTAGAAGGAAATATGTAAATGGTGATAATAAACTCAAGATCTACAAAAAAAGTACCTATACAAAATTACCCAATTTCCTTAGAAAAAAAAGGAAAACTAAGATTTGTGTTTTTTTTTCTGCGTCACGTTTTTTGTTGAATAGGTAGTGATAACTTAAAAGATATTTGATTTAAGTAATTAGACATTGTTCTATCGTAAACGAGAAAAAATTCACTTTAAACGAAAGTAGAGTTTGACATTTGCTATGTTCCTTTCCTCGCGTTTCTACGGCGAGTAACGGGTTCCAGGAACCGCATTTATTTGTATTTATATGTATTTATATCGGTCCCAGAAGGGAACCGATCAACTTAAAATATACTAATGATGTATTTAAATGTTAGATACCACAGACCCCCTACTATAGTATCCTAGATTGAACCATATACTCTTTATTGGATTTCCTTTCTAAAGGTATCATGTTTATAAATGTACTATTTGTTTCTATTACTAATTGGTGGCATGCAAGGTAGAATGTAAAAGTACTACGTTGGTTTACTAACTATTATATTTACAAGCTTAAATAAAACCAAAAACATCTATATACAAAATAATAACTAAACCTATATACATAATGAATAGTTGAGAATCATACTGGAGGAGAATGCTTGATGTTTGATTAAAGTTACGTGTTATATTGATTATATTAATTAATGATGTATGGTTGCCAACACAAATTTACATTAGTATAACTAAATGCTTGTTACCACTTAGCTGGTCCTTCATAGTGTTTCTATCCGTCATATCTGGATTCCCTGTCTCTGCTCTCCTTCAGCGTCTAGTCCGTCCATCTGCTCTCTCCGGCTGACTTCGTCTTCCTCCCTCGACTCCCCTCATCAAGTCCTAGCCTGTGTCTCAGCTCTCAGTCTCCTCCGAGTCTCAAGAGGAAGTCCTCTCAGCTCGTCCCAAGAAGAAGTCTCCTCCTCTCCGAGTCCCAAGCAGAAGTGTCCAGTCCCAATCCTCTATTTCCCACCTTTTTTCATCCCCCTCTCTTTTGGTAGTCTTTTTCCTGATTGGTTGAATATTCTCAGCCTAAGGGATGACCACGCCCTCTCCCCCAGGCCAAGGTAAAGCAGCAGGTACTGACTTAGGTATTTCTGGTGGAAGGTGTGAAAAGGTCTTTTGGGATCCTTTTTAAACACTTAGTTGTCGGTCTTTGTCGGTGGTCCTTAAGGGTTTTTATTACCACTTACAAAAGGTTGTCCTAATGGGTTACCCTCAGTCAGGTACCGCCAGATGTGGACACTTATGATGTTTATTTATACATTTAAAATAATTATTCCACCGGCGGTCTTTACAATACATAGCACATTGTTAAAACTATTTAAAGAGAACTATTGAGCGGACACATTTAAACTTCGTTTAATAAATAATAAAAAGTCATAAATTATTTGTGATTTTTTAAAATTTTCTTTCAACCGTACTACAGTTACCTCACTAGAAAAACATCCTCGTCAATCGAGCTTTAAGTTCATAATTAATAAGTTGAGGTTTGTTAACAAAAGTTTTGAGATTCAGCTCAAGTTATGTAAAGAAATTATGTTAATTTTTATCCAGTCACCTAAAGAACACTCGTGTTTTCTGAAAAAATTACTACTGTTAACTGTTGCAAAGCTTTTACTTCTTGTTCTTGTGGAATATGGGACGAATTGTAATAAATGTAATTGCCTAAAAACACATTTTATTTATAAAAATAAAACAAATTAAAATGATGATTTTTCAATTTTTTTTTTCGTATAGTGGTTATGAAATTGTGTTTACCTCTCAAAATTTTGTCATAGGAATTGATGCGTATTTATAAGTGGCAAACTTAATGTTTCTAGCCTTAATATGTACATTTTCATGCAGATAATTGAAGCAATCCGTAGATTTCTTGGTACTTGTCTGATATTAGGACTGGACGAAACCTCCCTTTGTGAACCCTCCTGTGATAGGAATTATTACATTTCTTTTTGTCTATTTCAATTCAAACCAAACTGTTTCGTAATTATTACATTTGTTTTCGTCTATATAAAATATATGTAGTAAAATTATAGGCGATTATACAGAAAATAATGACATGACTTCGAAAATGAAAGTGCCCAGCAGCACCTTTTCTTTAACTTGATTCTATCACTTAGGTTGTTTACAGACGTAGATCTCTCATCCAGCGCCTTTTTAGTCTCCTTCTCATAATGAGAAGTATGTAAAATGTGGCCATGCCTGCTTCTAAATATATGGCATGTCCGTTTAAAATTGTATAAAATCGTTGATAAAGGGTCTTTGTATGTTGATAAATTTTCGACAGATAGAGTGAGTATGAAGAGTTTAATTAGTCACGAACCAACGTGCTTTATTACAAGTCTTAATATTTCGACTAGAAGTTAAGTTTGACTAAGTTTTTATAGATGGATCTTTTTGCAATACCGTTCATCTCCGATGAATATGTTCATTATAGTTTAAGTACGTACTTTTATACAGTTTCTGTCTCGTTTTCAGTTTTGAAGATTTGGAAAAACTGGATAAAATACTTTTAATCGTTTGTTAAGGGTCTTTCATTCCATTTTAACAGGCAGTACCCATGTCCAAATGTAATAAATCTAATGTAAATAATACATACAATAGTATTTATAAAAATTGTGTATATTTATGTGAATAATATTATATTAAGCTCCTGTTACATATGGAAGCCTATTCTAATCTTTTGGGTGAGCTCGTGTGCGCTCGTATTCCTTCGGTACCTCTATTACAACTATTCTTCGTTACGATCTCTTATTTCTACTTTTGTTAATTATCTAATTCTTTTATATGTCATGTTAAACTATTTTTTATATCAGAGTTAATTGTGGAATCATTAATTATTTAAAAAATAAAGGTACTTTAGAGGAAGAAATATTGAAAATTAGCCATTTAAGCCCTGTTAGAGAACATCAATGCGTATAAAACCTATATGTTTTACCTATATGAACCTATATAAAAACTGATTATTACACTGATGTAATGAATTTAATCAAAATCGTTTGAGCCGATTTCGAGAAAATCGTAAAAATGTATAAAATTGATAAAAATATTGCTGTAATATTCCAGGTATATACAAACTTTAAATATACAATTTCACTTTCATACGACTTTTTGTTTTTGAGCTAGACTGTTGATATGTAGAGCATTTTGCGGGACTTGGTTATTTAGACTGCGTAGACCTCAAAACATGTATTTCCGTTGAAACTATCATGATCGAAATACTTCCCCTTACTATATATTTTATATATAAGTAAGTGAAAGTAAAAAAAAAAATTTTTCAAAATCATAATTGTCTTTACTTTAAAAAAAGAATTCTTTTTAGCTCGCTTCAGATCACAAAATAGTTTAGTTGTGATTGCCTCATTCCTTTCTTGTTGTCGTTTTTTACAGTCAGTTTGAAAAATTACCCGAAATGATAATCTATAACTGAGAAAGACATTTAGAAATTAGAGTTAGAGAACAGAGGTGACGAATATAAGACAGATTGTCGCCATCTCTAACAGAGCGACTTCCTATCTCAGCGGGTAATGGTGGAATGATTGCTATGTCATTTGTCTTTGTCTGTTTGTCTCTCCAGGACATAGATTGCGAAGGCTTTATTTGACGGCCGAGGCGTTATTAGTCTCTCAGAAGCATTTGTTTTTCAAAATATTCATCTGATTTGATTCACAAATTACGGACAAGGTCACAATCAGTGGGCCACAGGTTTGAACAAAAATTTGGAGGTGATTATATTTAGAATAATATTGAATATTGGATATCGGGTTAGGTTATTATATACTAATCAATTTATTTCCTCTAAAAATAAAAAACTACCGGTAGTATGTAATGAGTTTAAATGTATCAAAAATCACACAACACGTTTTCAATAAAGTATGCGACATGAATTATTTTTATAAAAAAGCATTTTAGACTACTTTTTAGCGACCTGTAATACTCTTGCATTTTTATAGATATAAATTTTAGGACTTGATTATATTTTAGGGATGTTTTTACTTTCGTTATCGAAAGCATGAAACCCTGCAAAGCGACTATCTAAAGGCAATATTAATGTAAATTAATAAAACAAACAATCATATAAATAATGATAAGTGAATTTAAAATTTTTAAAAATTTTTGTACAAATAAACACAAATGTATTCAAGAAGTCGTTTCATTTATTTAAAAAAAATTGGAATGAATAGTAAAACCTCTATTTTTTTAACTCCATTTCTTCACTCACACCTATCATAAGTCTACACCCGGTAGGCAGAGAAGTGCCCAGCTGCATCCTTTCCTGTCTTGAATTCAGCATATTTTTAAGTGAGGAAATCATTCATGCAGCTCCTTTTGAGCCCCTAAGTGCGTTTTTGGACATGTTACATGTAGTCATACTTTGTATAAGTGTGTTAGTATCGCCGTGTAAGTTATTGTGAAATCGTTTGTAGTGTGTCCGTACGTTATCTGTTGGCATTTGAAGTTCTTTATGTAGAGTAATGTTTGTGAAATACCATGAAGATTTAAGTATGGTCCTAAAAATTTCAGACTAAAAAGATTGTTGACTTCGTATGTGGGTCGTTTTGGCATTCCTGTAAATTTGTGAAGCCTAGCCTAAGTGAGTGTAACAATTGTAGTCTGAGGTTTAACGTTTTTCTCCTTTTGTTGATACGTCGGCCCTATGTCATTCTTCTGTCGAATGTCAGTCCAAGATGTTATATTTATCTGTTTGAGGAATTCCACCATTTTAAGGTAAATAGGGAGGCCTGTATCATGTCGGAGAGTGAAAGTAATGTGTTGTGATTTGTCTTGGTTCAGTCCAAGTTTACAAAATTTGCAGCAATTTAGTTTTGTTAGATGAGAGGAACTCCTCATAGAAAACATAAATTCTGATTTTAGCTAAACAAAAATAATGATGAACAATTCTAAGTGCAATCAGGATGTAAAATAATTGAAATAATAACAAAAAATATATACAAGATTTATGTATCTATAAAGAAGTAAACACTTAACAAATGATAGTAACTTTAGCTAGTTCGGTGATTTAAATTGGATGTTATCGAAAATCTACCTCGGATATAAATTTCACCATTCCTTCATACATTTAAATAATGCTATATATAAAGCTAAACGCCATGAAAACTGAGTTCATTATTATAGGTTCCAGCTTTATTCTTAAATCCATCTCCTTCCTTCCTCCTTTAGTCATCAACGGTTATCCTATCACATTCAGCTCCTCTGTTAAAAACCTAGGAAATACCGTTGACGAAAACCTCTCCTGGAAACTTCATATCGCTCTCATCTTCCGAAAGTCAATAGGTACCTTAAGCTACTTCATCGCTCCCGCCACGTACTCCCACAACCCATCCGCAAGTTCCTTGTATCCTCTCTTATTCTCTCCCACTTTGACTACAGCTGTGTGGTGTACGGAGGTATCCTGATGGTACTAGGGGATATATTGAAGCGACTCATGAATCCTGCTTAAGATTTGTCATCGGCACTTCGAGATGGACTCATGTGTCCCACCTTTACGACGAGTTAAAGTGGTTCTTCCCTTTTTTCCGCAGACAATATTTCCATGAATCTTTCTTATTCCAAACGATCAAAACCCTTCCTACATATACGGTCTCCTACAGTTCAAACCCGTGGTCCATTCCAGAAAACAAGATCTCGTGTTTCCGACCTTTATATCCCTTCCCATAGAACGAAGACATGTCAATATTCCTTCATTGGCTGATCCACTAACTTCTGGAATTCCTTGTCATCTTATATCCGCCATGTCTCTTCCCAGTCCTCATTCAATTATCATGTCTACCAATTCCTTCTCACATCCCAAAATGACGTTTTACAATGAAGTAGATATTGTGAAACAAACTATGACTGAGATAAATGGATATTGAAATTGTTCTAGTTTTAATTTTCAAAATGAACCCATAGTTATCTTGTTTTTTTATTTTACCTGATTTCTGTTTTCCTTTGCATTTAAATAATGTTGTTTTGTTTTGTTTTTCAAAATGGTGTTACTTTTTATTTGTCATTGCTGAAGATACTGTATATATTTTTTATTGTTGATTAATGTAATTTTTGGCAAGATGTGATTTTTATTTTTTTGTTCACAATTGTTATTCGTAAGGGACCTCGTCCCAAAATAAAGTTTATTTTCTATCTATCTATCTATCTATCTATCTATCTATCTATCTATATATGTATATATATATATATATATATATATATATATATATATATATATATATTAAAAACATTTAGCCCTTTTGATTGGTAAGATTCTCTGGAATTTATTAGTGGTGTAAATCTGTTTAGGCTAAATATGAGGAATGAATAGATATTGTTTTACGTGAAGTGACTAATTATAAACTTTCCAGAAGAAAGTAGGAAAAAAATCTATTTCTTAAATTATTTTACAGATTTTGACATTAGTTTTACTGGAGCAGGTTTGAACTCTGTGAAAACTTTAATGAATCCCATCCAAGTTGAGCAACTCACAAACGCTTTCATAGCCTGCTTCAAAAGTTTAACAGTCAGTCTCGTTAAAAGAATAAGGAGCTAACCGAATTATATCTAAACTTTACTAAACGCAATTTTAAAGGTTGGAGGATAAATGGGTCGAGGAAATAACTTTACGGAAGCTGGGTGATGATTTTAAACCTTTAACCGTTTATATGGCGTTTATCAAGACCAACTTTGAGGCAGTTAATTCTTATCTCTAATACTGCTATCGTGTAAATGTTTTCTGTATAACACTCTTATCTCTTATTTTTGTTATTCAATTCCCCAGCCAAGTCGTTAGTGAGCGCTATTCCAAGTAGGTTGGAGCTTCTCATACTAATACTCGGTCTGTAGAGTGTTCAATAATTAACTAGATCTTCAAAGGATTTCTGTGGAAGTTCCCAAGTTCGAGATAATTGTTGCGCAATTCGTGCAAAAATTAAAACATTGCTATTTAAAATATTAGTTTCGTAAACCATTGAATTCTTGTCCTTTTACAATACTTCGCTTATTCCTGTTGAACAAATTCGTTACCTAGGGACTACACCTGGACAAACGTCTAACTTAGGCAAGAAACCGCTAGACATTTCAATTAATTCAACACTTACTAGACAAACGCTCTAACCTTCCAATTAATTACAAAATACTCATATACATGACTGTAATAAGGCCTATTTGGACGTATTGAGTTGTGAGGTGTGGGGCTCCACCAAACCTTCAAATTCCTCTCCTTACAACAAAATTCAAAATCCTTCGTAAAATCCTCAATGCTCCTTAGTTTGTTATAAATAAAATCATCCATAATGACCTTAATGTTCCTGATGTTTCAGATTTTGCCCAATCCAGATACCTATCCTTCCATATAAAATTTCATAAGCATCCCATCCACCTTGCTTCCTATTTAATTCCCAATAACCCTCCGAGGAATCTGAAAAGAAGATGGCCCCGTGATCTCGTAATTTACACATATTATTCGAATGCTACCAGTGGATAGTTTCTCAACATATGTTTCATGTAATTATATCCTTTGTACGAATTTAGTAGATGTATTTTCTTTTTTATACAGTTGTGAATATCATAATAAATAATAAAAAAAATATATATATTAGTCTTCAACGAATTAAAAGTCTATTGAAAAGATAAATGGAGGAAAACAATTCTACCATTACTTGGGCACATCATATTATATATAAAGAAACTTTTAGATAATTTTAATAAATAAAACAATGTATGTGCTTTAGACCACACGATGGAAGTGGAAACATCAACAATGCGAGATTAATAATATAAAATATAATTTGTAAATAATAGCGCATTATAAAGAGGATGAAATGCTCAACATTTTCCTCGCTTACAGTATGCAGGTCTGATTTTTTAGTTTCTGAGATGTTTTAATCCATATCTTCCATAAAACTCGTTGACATTTGGTTTTCGAAAATAATTTTTTCCTTTTCGACTCTCTAACTCGGCGTCGCGTTGAGATAACATTTTGAATAATAGCCCATTACAGAGAGGGTGAAATACAGAACGGTTCCCTCGCTTATAGTATGAAAGTCCGATTTTTAGTTCCTGAGATATTTTAATCCATATGTAAAAACATTACAATTAGTCGACTCCAGCCTTATTCGCCAGTTTAATTTTATACAGCAATGAACAAATTTTGTATATCAATATAGACATAAAACTGAAAATAATTAAATTTTATGTATTCGGAAGATAAAAATATTTATTTCGGACGCTAATTTTGTTGTTTCGCAAGCCGTACATTGTTGGCTAACATTGTAAACAATGAAACCAACTAGGTAGAATATTATATCAACTTAAAAAAAAAACTTTATCTACGACGACACATGCCGGTACGACGATACGACGGTACGACGGTACGACGATACATGCATTAAGTATGACTAATATAATATATTATAATAACAGATTAGTAAACGATATATATATATATATATATATATATATATATATATACATAACACATAACAATTAGTAAAACAATTTTTTTTTTTTTTTATTTTATGTATTATTATTTTATTATATTAGACAAATGACAGTATAAATAAGCATTAATATATGTTATATGATTAACTTTACCACTTAACAGTTCAATGAACAGCCCTGTATGAAATAATACAGTTGGTTTATTTTTTTCGTAGTGTCTATTTTCAGTATCTCCTCCACACTAGCATCTTCTCTGGATTCAGTGATAAATGCCTTCAAGTACTTATTTCTCGGCTCGTTGAACTTGATACATTGGAGCAGAAAATGAATTACCGGGTCAGTTACAAGGCAGTTGCATGCACCACATACCTCACTGGATTTAATAATCAAAGTAGCATATTTTAAGTATATTTTCATAAAATCTTTACCTGCTACTCTGAGACGACTAACGGCTCTTAATTTGTTTAAATTCAGAGCCCTGAACTGAAGATAATCCTCTGGTCTGGTAACATTAAAGGAGCAGATTTTTCTATATCTTGGGTTTGATTTAGATTTTAACACTCTGTCGATGTCCTTGGATGAGTGATGGTTTCTTATTTTTTCCATGATTTCATCTTTGAACCTCATCAGACCTTCAGAGAAAACACAAGAAAACATCCCCTGACATCCCAGTTCCGCCACAATCATCTTTACTTGGGTAACCCAGTTATAAGTTGGATCAGGTTTTCCAATGGATGAGTCTAGAGCTCTAAGCCTATTAAAGCATTGTCTAGGTAGTCTTTCGTCACTCATTAAGCTTAGCTTTGTCCAATAGTAGATCACTTTTTTCAACACTTTTTTCAACACAGTGCGGTGTATTTCTTGGCCAATGGAGCAATGATTTGATGAATCGAACTTGCGTCCTCTCCAAAACCTCCAGGTATCTCGTCCCCCCGAAGAATGAAAATGGCCATTAACGATAAAAATATTTCAGATACAAAAAAAAAAAAAAAAAATTGTTCTTTAACTTGATATGTTGACAAAAATGCATCAATATTTTTTTCAAATCAATTTAGTCGTTTTACTTTGATATATCATCATATCAATATTGAATCGTGACTGTCAAAAACTGAATTAAGTCTTTTTGATCATATTAATGTGGTTTTTCGCTTATAATGAAAATCTCTATAAATTTGATCGATTTCAGACATTGTTAATTTAAGTTTAGTTTTCTTCTTGATGTTCCTTTTGGTGTTTACTTGAGCTTCGTCCTTTACCGCTATATCCTCTTTACTACTGATATCCTTGCCCATCCCGATACAGTCCTGATAACATTTGCTGATAGCACCCCCATCCTATCATCCAACTCAGATCCTGAAATAGCATCATTCAATGTACAAAGGCATCTCTCTCTAATAGAACATTGGTGTAATAATTGGTAGATAACAGTAAATAAATCTAAAAAGCACAGATCTTAGACATTCGGGGTCCCCGAGGAATGACGTAACCCCTTCTCCCTATAAAAATTAAATTTATTTCTTAAGCAATTTTAAATTATCTAATATTTAAATTTTATTTCATTTAATATTTCACTGATACAGCTGCATCATTGACAGTGCTAAAATTAAGGATCACTGTTCACTGGCTTTAGCATTAGAGAGAGTGGCGCAGTTTTTTTTTTTTTTTTTTTTTTTTTTTATTGTCTATAATTTTTTATCATTATTTAGCTTCGGTTATATTTCTGTTAAGTTTATATTTTCTGTATGAATGTACTCTTTCCTTACCACAACCATTGTCCATGTAACAAAATATTATATTAAAAATAAAAAAATAATGAATATCTTCGTTTTCTATATTTTCTTTTTACTCTTTTTTTTTATGTTGAGCCGTTTAATATTTTGAAAAAATGTATCTTCAATGATTTCAGTGATTCATTTCTTTCCACCTCTTTTGTAAAAGTAATGGTTAATTAATTTAATTAAATTTTTTGTCTAATTTTTAGGAATATATAAATACATAAATATTTAATTGTTGCTATTAAACCCATTCCGAATTCATCACTTTAATTCAATGCTAACCCTTTAAAAATTTGTAAACATTGAGACCTCAAATATCAATATTTTTGTGGCATAATTATATCTATATTTTTTAAATTATTAAACCTGTTTAGGTCCGATATTATCGAATTATCGAAATAATTTCTCTATATATCTAAACTGGATTACTGATATCATTTAATTTTAAAATAGTTCAATATGTATTTGGAGTGTTAATCTCCATGGAGCTGATTCCAAGAAACTGTTCCTTACCCCCTAAAGCGCTTCAAGTTCACAGAATTACTTAATCAAAACTGAAGAGACTCGATAAAGTTGGTTACCTTAATCTTCAGTTCAACTTCGTGTATAATATATGTGTATTACAATTCAGTTCCCTCCATCCTGACATATTCATTCCCTCATTTACATATTCCTTCCTTATTAGATTTGTTACACGTGTCTGTTGTTAGCCGTTTGTCTATCCCTTTATCAGGATTTCTGTTTAATAATTTATAATGTGTACTACAATTATGTTCATTATATTTGCTATTTTCTATATGTATTTCCTTTTTCATTTCATATCCTCATTCGCAACTGTCATGGAGGTGCTATAATTTTAAATAGTGTTGCCCGATTGTAAGATGAAAATGAGACTTATCCAGTTTTGGCCATTGTCTTGCGATAACTCATCAAGTCTTGAACTTGGTCTCGTTCTTGCAGCAAGAATCTCAGTCTTACAATTACATATTAGCTTATTTCTATGTATTAAACAAGTTATTATGGATCTTAAAACAATTCACCAGAGCAGTAAATTTTGTGTTTATTTTGACATAGACTTTTTTTTTCGTTTTTTTATCTTGCTCCAATCTTTGTTTTGTATCTTTATAATTTTTAGTTATTATTTGAAGTGATAAGATTTTCGTAATTCGTTTGTACACGACTCAAAGAGAGAAACACTACTGATGATATTTAACTCAAGTTAAGTATGTTAAAATACCGAGTATTCATCGATATATAGTAATCAATCTAATAGCTTTTATTGTAGGAACGCCTTTCAATATCTATATTTAAACCAAATACTCAAACATGCTCGAGTTTGACTTCACTGGGAGACTCTTGTGTCTCAAATCTCGGTCAGTATTGTTTTTATTCATATCTTGTAGTGTCAGTATTGGTCTAGGTATTGTTAGAGTTGGTCTCAATCCTGCGAAAATGCAAGAATAAAACTAAGAATAAAAGGTCAAGACAATTTTCGGCCAACCATCATCACAGGCACTACAACCCAGTTTGGGTCTAATCCACTTCAACGTCACTCTTCTGTCGTCTTTGTCTTGTGCAAGGATCTGCCAAACTGTAGTGTCCAGAATCTTCTCTGAATCGGCTTCGACTTCATCTGCATATGCCAGTCGTGGCCGTTCTCTCTTCTACAATCCATATCTCTGAACAGTAGCCGCTTGGTTGGTGTGTCTTCATCCATCCTTGCGACATACCCATCTTAGCCTAGAGATCTCGTATAGTAATATTCGGTTCCCGGTAAATTTGTTACAACTCTACATTATGCCTTAGCCTGATAAGAATAGCCTAAATATCCTTCTCAGGATTTTTTTCTCAAAAACCTGAAGCCTGATGGCGTCTGTTCGTGATAACGGCCATGTCTCCGACCGATACGTCAGTACAAATCTAATCAGTGATTTGTAAAGAGCGACTTTTGTAGATCTAGCCAGCAAATTACTTCTTAATATTTTAACCAGGCCAAAATACCATCAGTTAGTTGACGTGATTCTTCTCTGTACTTCTTGTATAGGGGTATTTTCTTCACAAATTAAAGGTCCAAGAAAAAAAAATATTTACACCTTCAAAAAGTTTTGGCCAACAGTTATTTTAAATCTTAGATTTTCCTTTTATTTTTCATGAGTGGTCAAAATACAAAACCTCATATGATTATTTGGATAATGATGTTTCTGAGGAACACCACTATCAAAGTAATATTTTCTTCAAATTATTTCTACAAGAGGCACAGTTTCTTTGAGATTTTATTAAAAATACTAATACTTATTAAAGGACGCAGAAAGATCAAAAAAGTAATGAACCTCTGCCAAACTCTATTCTAAGAATACTTTGGTTTAATCCATCCTGTCTTCAGCAACTTTGCATGAAATTAGTTCCGACACAACTGGACAGCTATTAGAATCCTTACATCATCCGAAGATCCCTGACTAGAGCCTCCAGGTGGTAACTAACAATCCTGTTGGAGAAGTTGGGCCATTTAGTTAGGGGGACAGCTGGGGCGGGAATCGAACTCGGGATTAGGGCTTCCCGATCAGTGATTACCACGGCCTCCTAGATTGATCGCTGGCTCAGATGGAATTGAAATTCTCCTCTCCTGTCGGTTTGATTGAACTGTCTAGGCCAGTCTTAATGCTATAGGCTTTGGGATACCGTTCGCGGTGAAGAGGGGTATTCTGTGACGCTTGGAAAGTGGATTAGACTTGAAAGTATACGCGTAACTCACTTTGGAAATGGCGTTATGGGATGGGTATAAATCAATACTAAATAAATAACTAAAATCCTATAGAAAAACTAATAATGTTTATTACTTATTAACAACTAATGAAAAATATATTTATATTTTTTAAACTATTTATTCAAGATATTTACAACTGTATTACAATATAAATACATCAAGTAAATGTGTACACAAGAATATAGTCACTTGAAAACGCTTGCTGAGAAACTACCCACAGGTAGCACTCTAATAATGTGTATATAAGGAGATTACGAAGCCATCTTCTTGTCAGACGCCTCGGAGGGTTGTCAGGGATCGAGGAGGAAACAAGGTTAAAAACGAAAGGATTATGATGGTTCTGAAGTTTACTATAGAAGGATAAGTATCTGGATTGGGCCAAATCGGAAACATATGGAAATCATTATGGATTATTTAATTTATTACAAAGTAAGGAGCATTAAGGATTTTACGAAGGATTGGATACAAGAGGAATTCGATGGTTTAATGGAACCCCATAGCTCAACTCCTTCAAAGTCCAAATAGGTCTTATTATAGTCATGTATTATATGCCATGTATGTCATTTGTAATTAATTGAAAGTTTAGAGCGTTTATCTAGTAAGTGTTGGAGTAAGTGGAAATGTCGAGCAGTTTCTTGTCGCTTCAGTCTTGTATGAGGATTCCTAGTGAGACGTTTGTCCAGGTGAAGTCCAAGATATCTTATTTGTTCAACATTGATAAGTATTAGACTTGAACATTAGACAACATTTCAACATTAGACTTGAAAGTATACGCGTAACTCACTTTGGAAATGGCGTTATGGGATGGGTATAAATCAATACTAAATAAATAACTAAAATCCTATAGAAAAACTAATAATGTTTATTACTTATTAACAACTAATGAAAAATATATTTATATTTTTTAAACTATTTATTCAAGATATTTACAACTGTATTACAATATAAATACATCAAGTAAATGTGTACACAAGAATATAGTCACTTGAAAACGCTTGCTGAGAAACTACCCACAGGTAGCACTCTAATAATGTGTATATAAGGAGATTACGAAGCCATCTTCTTGT